TAGATTTTAATTGTATTTCATACTACTACTATTATTATTTCATGCACTCACACCTATGATTCAATTTCCCCACCGGATATAACTTCTTAAAAACCATTTATATACATCTCCACTGCCAGGGAAAATTACAACGAAACTGCTCGCCAGTAAGCCCTAGTTGATTTTCAGTCGTTCTATAACTGATGTCATCTCGTGATGCAACCTGAAACCGTTGAATTCTCCTCAAATCAATGCTGAGGAAAAAACTTATCCACATTCCAATGCTGCCTGACAGGATGATAGACTTCCCTGATATTCTTGTTAGTAATGGTAACCAGTGAGATTCAGAAAGTAGGGTATCAGAAGAAGTAGTCGCCAATAACATTGACTAGAGGTGGTGTTATCCATCACCAATTGTCGGTTGATCTGTAGGAATTTTATTCGTTTTAAATATGAACCAAATCAATATAAGTTGAACCATGATTGATAACCCCCTGGAGGTACTAGAAAGTTGTTTCTACCTAATTTGAGAATAGTCGGCAGCAAGTGGACTCACTAGATTTTGAACCCGGGAAATTCCATTCACAAAGGAAGCTTGCAGACCACTCAAGCAATGAGAGAGACACCGTCCAGATGGATTAGACACACAATGAGGAGACTGTCCATGGTTATCACACCTGCTTGACAAAACGTTGAGCTCAACCCAAATAAGAAGCGACGAGTTCAGCTTGAATTCGAGTGAAGATGAGATGGGAACTATTAAGCAATCGTGGGGTCAGCTCAAGATGACGGAAGAAAACAGTGTAAGTCGAGAGATGCTTTGCAAGTCCCAGGTTCCACTCAGAACCTAAGGGAATAATCACAACAATACATCAGGTATGAAATGCATGCATGGATAGATGTATCGGTGAATGGATGAATCACAGTACACTGAGGTGCGTATAAGTAATATTGGTGTCAGTTGAGCAATACAGTTACCTCAATGTAAGGTACGACGAATTCGGACTCAATACAGACATTTAACTCGCCCTTGCATATCATTCACCAGAAGATTTCGTGATGACAATCAGGAATTACAGATATCACATTACACTATAAACACTAAATTAATCTCATTGGAGTTGTCGGTGATATCTGATGATGTTGCTGATGTTGACGCAGTGAACTGACGCAGTCCTTTCTCAATTAGAAACAAACACACAAACGAGCAGCGACTTACCAATAGTAAACAGATTCATTGCTATCATTCGCTCTAGTTGCATTCCTGACATTCGCAAACATTTCTCCTCAACATTCTCTGGACAAAAAGTGATAGAATGAAATGATTAAATCATGATTAAATCCTCCATGCAATCAAACAAAAAAATCCCTACAAAAACCAATACTTGAGAATGAAATGAGGCAAACTTCAAGATAATTCAATCAAACAGTCAACATGAAATGGGTGTTCTCCATGTCAACATATTATTGCGCATCCCGAACGCACGCACACATACTTGAGAGGGGAAGCCGTTTCAGATGAGGCTAATTATTCATCATGTCTGAGTAATTACTCACTCAGTTGTTGTAGTTAATTTCAGAGTAGAATTTAGAGATTATGGAAAGAAAATTGATCCACGTTGGATGAGTGTTCCCCAGTGTAGTTTTGTTCACTGAGCTTGATGGTTCAGTTGACGAGCTCTCATCGCCTCACCACACAGCATCCTCAACCGCTCGAGAGTCATCTCATCCACTCACAACAGACTACCACAAATCATTGCTTCTGTATCATTTGAGACAACAAAGTGTGATGCGTGTTTGAAATTTGACATTTGTTCAAACATCTGTTTACCTCTTCATCGGATAAAATCCTTTTCAATAAGATTTCCCAAGTCTTCTCCGGCAGTTAGTTCATCTATAATGAAGAGCAGAACTCAATTCTAATGAGAGTGTCATTTCAATATTTTTAGGTGAAATTTGAAGTGAATTACTCGTGGGTCTGATTAAACGTGTACAATTGGAGTGTTTGTCGGCATGTGGTGTCAATATTGTATGTGTGTATGTACATTAGACGAACACTTGCATAAGAGACATTTACTCTGTAGGAACTCAGTACACGTTAGCGCAATATATCGTTGACTATCTACCAGTGAATGCATTGCGATTGCTGACATTTTCTCTAAAGACTCTCCCACCTACTCGGGTCAGTCATTCTACACTGAACTCAATCCATGTGAATAAGGATAAGTGTGAGGCCAGAAATCCCATTTTACGGAAAACGCTACAGTTATTGAAACTTCAAAGATTACGCTTGACTTCGTATCTTCCGTTCGAAGCTCTAACGAATTGAATAACTAACTAACCAGATCAGCTTCACTATGGAGCGAAAACGTAGGCTTTGGATCAAAGTCTTCAGTAGTCTGTTGGATATGCTTCCAGTGAAGCGCATTTCAAGTCACTCAACCATATAGAAGAACTTAGTCAATATTGCTGTTGAAAATCAAAATTTTGTTCATCATGCTGAGTGAAGTAGATATGTGGACTGATTTCCGAAGGAATAAAGTCTCTCTTGCCCTTCCGATCCTGACTAGATTTGACATCCTTATCCATGAGGGTGCTTGTAGTTGGTACCACATTTTCTGGTTGAATGAGTACATGCAGTGATCTCTTTGGAATTCTTCACAGTGACAGTGACTATTGTTGGATGCAGCTTCATTTGGCTGATTGTTTTGTTGTTGGTTGGTTTGTAGGTTATCTTTTGTTATCCGTCTTCTCCGTGTTCACTCGAAGTCCTGTCTTCGCTTCCTACGACGTCTTTCAAATCGTTGGTCATCACCTGTAAGTCTTCGAATTTTTTTGACATTCAGCACTTATCTCCTCCACGATCCACATACTACAGAGTCCTCTCGTCGCTCCAACATATTCCTGTCTTCACGGATTCTGCAGTCTGTCAACTAATCCGTTCTAACACGATCAGAATCATCACCGTAGATAGTACGTGGCCATATTTTACTCCTGCCTCTACTTCAGAGACATCTAACCAATTTATTATCATTATATCCTTTAATTCCTAGAGAAACATAGGGCTTTAGCTCCACATCTCCATTGCCTTCTGTTTTCTGCCAACCTTTTCGCCTCCTCCAAGTGTGCCCACATGCTTTCATCTCCTCTTCACATCACCTCCTCCAAGTCACCCCACCATGGGACGACCAAATCGCCGCTACCTTTCGGTTCCACTCGAGCAATTGCTTGTCTAGTGATGTCACTCACTTGATGGTTTCCTCAGAGTATGGCCAATCCATCTCCATTTCTTCCTGCCTATTTGTTTCACAGTCGGTTACTGATTGGTTTGCTCCCAGAGATCCCACCCTGTTGTTGACCTTTTCTGGCCAGCCATCTGATCTTGAGTGGTATTGAGCGAAGACATTTGTTAATGAAGGTCTGAAGTTTGTTTGAGATGCTCTTTATGACGCGCCAAGTCTCTGATCCGTATAGTGAGTAGCACTGACTGACTTCACATTGGAGTTGAAGATCCGGATATTATTTTTGATGCTGAGTGCTGTTGACCTCCACACAGACTTGGTGAGAGTAATGAAAGCTTGTCTTGCTTTTCCGATTCTTGCTTTGATATCCTCGTCATTTCCGCCCGCCTGTAGTTGAAACGGTTCTTCCCAGGTAGGTAGTTAGGCGAAGGAGGTTGTTTCTTTCAGGTTCCGTCCACTTAAGCCGACTGTTTTCTGTTGTTGTTGTTGCTGTTGCTGTTGGCCAGGAATCTTCATCACCTCTGTTTTCTCTATGTTCACTTGAAGTCCTATCTTTGATTCTTCTTCTGCCAGCTTGTTGCTTTTCACTTGTTTATCTTCCCGTTTGTGGGAAATCAGACATACATCATCGGCGAAGTCCAGATCCTCCAAATTCTTCGTGTGGTTCCATTTTATGGTTGTTTCCTCATTCCCCGTTGTCTGTTACATTATCTGATCTACTGCAATCAGGAAGAGGACTGGCGATAGTAGAAAGCCTTGCCTCATTCCTCTCCTCACTTCGAAGGCTTCCGTAAGTTTCCCGTTGCGGATTACTTGACATGCAGCATTGTTGTATAACTGTTGGATGAGATGCATAATTGTCCATGGCACCCCTTAGTAGAGAATTTATTTGCCACATGACCTCTCGATCGACGCTGTCAAAGGCCTTTTCAAAGTCGATGAAGTTGAGATAGAGAAATGACTGCCATTCCAAGCTTTCTTCAGTGATGATCCGTAGAGTGGCGATTTGATCAGTACATGACTTGTTTCTCCTGAATCCAGCTTGTTCCGGTCGAAGTTTTTCATCCAGGTCCATGTGTTTGATTCTCTCCAGAATGATGCGCCTAAGAATTTTCCTTGAAATGGATAGAAGCATAATTCCGCACCAGTTTTGCATTGCCTTAAGTCTCCTTTCTTCGGTAGTTTGAATAATTATCCTTTTTCCCAATCACCGGCTACCTAGCCCTCTTTCCACACCTTCACCAGTAATGGCGTCATCAAGTCCGCTGTTGTCTCTGGGTCCACATCTAACCAGTTAACAAAATAAAATCTTACTAATTAACTAATTGAGTATCACACTAACTTACCCTGAACTGTCTCAATTTGCAACTAAATAAATAAACACATATAACTGGCCAACGTATTCATTAACTAACTTGCTTGTTTGCGTACTTTCTGTGAGTAGAGTAAAATTTATTACAAAAGTACTCATGTGAATTACCCCAGTTTTATTACGAAATGAAATTTTCAGGAATCTAATGTGTGAGAATCGTTCCAATGTAGTTACACAGGTATCCTGGTAATTATAAGCAATTGTTATTGTGACCTCAAATTTCTGTTGTAAATTCCATATGAGAGATTTACGCAGTTACACAAAATGTTGAGAAGTGCATCAAAATTCCCATACACAAACACACTTTTTCTCTCTTTTTTCTCACATTCACTGACCACCTGTAGGATATAAATAGGGCGGTGATTATTCGTTTGCTAATCAATTCAACATCACTGCACACCAATAACATGATTGAGAAGCATTGCCTGATAGTGGCGTTTGTTTGGACGTTGTTTCAATGTAAGTGATTCTCAGTAGTATCACGTAACTTTGTATTGTATGTATTGCACTAAACTCTTTTTTATGATTCCAAATTTCCGTGTGTGTTCAGCAAACGGTACACCGCTTGCTTACATCCAACTCATAATGTACACAACGAGGTTGTTTTGCATCCTCCTGTGTCTTCTTTTGACATAACTGAACAATAAAGATGACCGTTTTCAATAACGCTGAGTAGTTGATACCGATAGATTACAATTGGAAGTGCATCTGTGAGAGATTGATAATATTCTGCACGACGTATCTTCGACACGACCATTGTGATTCCACGAGTGAGGGAGGAAATACCTCTGCTGGCCACGGCCTCTAATTTTATCTATCTCTTAACCTGTCTACATTTGTGGATCAATTGAGGTGCTCCTGTGGAGCTAGATATATTGATCGTTGTTCTAGACAATTAATTGTTCGTTAAATAAATGTTGGTTGAATAAATTTCTATTGAGAACAATTCAGTATGAGACCACCTCATCCAAACAGGCCACAACTCTAACATTGCAGATACCTTTTCTCTCGTCTGTCGGATGGCGAATAAATCGCCAAAAGGCTCTAGGGTACCAAATACTTCAAACAGAAGAGACTATTGGAATTCGCTTAAAACATCTGGGTCTCTAAATGGTAAAGAATCATCTTCAGCCACTGCTTCTGGATCACTTAACCTTCTGTGGAACCTACAAATATGCCTTGTTCTTTAATCAGTCTTTTAATTTGACACCTGTGAATGAATAATTTCACCATCGTTTGTTTTTGTTTTGTCAATTTCGTTACAGTGTCCTATGTGCTGTGCAATGAATTATCTCCGGTACAAAAGAGTAAGTTGTGGTAACAGTGTTGTGTTGACGACATGAATTTATTTTCGACTACACTAAGTTGGTCCTGTGCAGACTGATTAAGAATTAACTTTTTTGCAGGAATTGAAGTTGATGAATTATAATCCCCGTGTATAACTAACTATATGATCACAAGTATACATGTACAGAATGATAATGAAACGAGAGGAGATAGGAGACCCGCAAAGCGATTTTTCAAATTAAACAATAATGTTCGGCTAGATCTAAGGAGAGTAGATATCACCGAAGGGTTGGTGATTCGGTCAATGTTAGGCAGGTTCCATAATGTCCACTGAGTGAACTTAATCCAGATTTGAGGAATGAACACTTCCACGTCTGGAGCCATTCACTTGAAATATTGATTTCAATTTTAGCCGCTTTCCAGCAATCTACATCACATTTCACTATTTCCAATTGGTATTCTCTATTCGAATAAATATGTTGCAAGTGGCGTAGACATCTTTATTATTATCATATCCTTTAATTCTTAGAGGAACATAGGGCTTCAGCCACGCGTCTCCAGTGCCATTGAAGTGTTCAGCCCAGTGTTTTCTTTGCTCCACCTCTTTGGTGATTGACCTTCCATTGTCATGCTTTACTGGCTTAATCTGTGTCGAACTTTTGCCCGATAGGTGCCTAGTTGTTTGGTAGAGTGTGGCGAGGTCTCCTTTGCCTGCACTGCAGCTTGTTCTGCTTCACTTTCCATGGCTTCATAATATTTTCTTTTGTCTTCTCTGGCACTCTTCTTTACTCTTTTGTTCAGCGTGTTGTAGCTTTCATTCAACTCCTGTTTTTGTTGCTCGTCGATGCACTAGATAATCTTTTGTTTCACCATCCTCCTCTCTTCTGTTAGTTTCCAAGTGTCTGCAGTGGGCCAATGTTTGTCCCGTCTCTTCTTTCTGCCTAGAACATTCATGCAGGTTTGACTCCACACCGTTTTCAAGTTGTTCCAGTGCTTTCCGATGTCGACGTCCTCGCTAGTGTTGATTTGTGACTCGAATTTGTCCTTTATGCTTGCAGTGAAGATGTCCTTTGTAGCACGGTCCTTCAGTTTTTGAGTGTTGAACTTGGCTTGTGGTCTATCTGCAGCTCCTGTTTCCTTGAAAGCTTTTAGTTTGTTTGGATTGTCCCTTGCACGAGATAGTGGTCTGACACAACGTCTGCTCCTCTTCTAGCTTTTGTGTCCAGTAGGCTGCGCCTCCACTTCCTTGAGCAGTATTGAGATGAAGTTAATTCGGTTTTTGGTTTGCCCATCTGGTGACATCCATGTAGCCTTGTGGATATCTTTGTGTTTATGTACACTGCCATCAATCACTAGTTCGTTGAAGGCGCATAAGTCGGCGAAGAGTTCTCCATTCTCATTGATTTCTCTAAGAGCTTCTCTACTCATGATGAGTTCCCTTCCTGTGTTGTCTGGTCCCAGTTTGGCGTTCATGTCTCCCATTAGTATTTTAATGTCACCAGCTGGAGTATTGTCCATTGTTGCCTGTAGTTGCCTGTAGAATTCTCTTTTGTTTTCGAGGTCTGCGTTGTTTGTGGGTGCACAATTGACATAATTGACACTTTCCTTCCTTTGGAGTTGAATCTGGCGGTCATTATCCAGGGCGAGATCGCCACCCATTGCATCAGGCCGTGTGGCCGTTGGTGTCATCATGATAGCCACGCCCTCGGTGTGCGTGTGATTATCTTCTGGGTGACCGGAGTAGATCACTGACTCACCCATGGACAATTTGGTGAGTCCATTCCCGTTCCATCTGCTTTTACATATTCCCAGTACTTGGATTCCGTATCTTTTCATCTCGTTTGCGATCTGGGCAGCTTTGCCAATCTCGTACGTGGTGCAGACGTTCCATGTCCCCACACAGCCGTTTTATTTTGTCGCAAGGAGATTCATCGTGCTGAAGTTTCTGTAGCAACTTTGTTTACAGGGTGGGGTTGCTAGCCTCACGCCTGAGAAAGGAATTGTTACATCAAGGAATAGAAATTACTCTCTCTCATTAGCAGGTATCACTTAGGGAAGTATGGGCGGCGTTCTCCGTCATCAAGGTTCAACTGATTTCTACATCAGAATATGTAACACAAAGATGACGTAGGCCAGCGTCAGACAAGACTACTTAATGAAACAGTAGGATAAGAGGAGATCTGACGAGAGAATGCATATGTGTTTTGAGCTGAATACGCGGCCTTTTCAGCACATGTTCACTGAACGCCCTTCTCCACAGTCACTTTCAAATGGTCCTTTCACATCCAACAAACTTCCAATTCCTCCTTACAACAAACAGGGAAACCATGTCATTACCAGTATTTATATTTGTCAACTGAAAATACCACCTTCAACTGTCTTCATTTTGTGTTTCCTTATTTTCTATCTTCTAGACGAATTGGACACGCTGATCAAGCGTTACAGTGAACTCTATGGCTCTTACAAGTCAGCTGAATGTGAGTGAGGTTAATTCTAGCCTATTCAAGTGTTGGTTAGTAGGCATATGAATGATTATTCATGTGTGTTATCGTATTGAACTCAATTGTAGAGCATTGAAACATTCACGGAGTCATGGACACCTACCTGATCCTTCTTCGACAACACAGATCAGTAGGTGTGCATGTTTAATTGCAAGCCCATTGATGATGCACTCATTGGTACGAGATTCCGTGACTGACCAATAAACTCTAACTTCTGCCTATTTGACATATACAACGCAAACACTAATCAATATAATTGGCGAGTATTTGTAGTCTGAACCAACTGGGTTAGATTAGTGGTGGGTGTAGTCGTGAGCTCCTTCCACTAACCACTTTCAAAACTAGATTAAGACGGCCGTCTCTGGTTTGTGATGCCTCTCTAACTGACACCATTCACTACTTGATCAAACTTGAAGGGATTCTAATACACAAGGAAGTTCAGATTTCATGCTGAATCCCCTTTTATATCGTATGCACATTATCTGCAAACCTCACCAGCACATGTCTATTAAGTATTTTGTTAACTTCATGTAATTATTACCGATCGAAACCGACTGAATAGTAGTCTGAACTCAGTGAACCTACTGTATCGATATCCGGGACTTTCCTGAGAGACACCCAGTCACAAAACACTCAAAAGACAGCAAAATATGATTATTCCTCGATAGATTTTTGAATAAAACAAAAATGAAAATTTAAAAACTCGATATCTCTTTGACAGTGTCAAGTTGTCTTGCTTAATACAAAACCAACGCTTAGAATAAAGAAGGACATTCCCAACACTGTGGAATCATAGCTCTGTCAGCAAGCTCTGTTGCGCACTAAACGTTTCTCGTAAACAGTCCAAAGTCGCAGTGACTTTGACTCACTCAAAACATCTCATTGTATAGCAACACGTCATCAATTTTATCACACACTCGTAAGAGAAGCACAAAGAATAGAGATACAACGGGGAGCAATACAAGTGGTATTGATAAAATCAACATTTGACATTGTAGTTTAGGAGAAGCACAGATAATCATCATGAAGATAGATGATTCGTCCAAATAAGTTTGAATACTGTGGTTGGACGGATCAGGGAGATTTTGTGAACAGTTACTCCGTCACAGTGATTACTGGTGAAGTATTTGAGTGTATTAATCTGTTTTCCAGGCGTAGCATTACTGGCAGTCAGAACACCAGAAATCGATTGGAAAGTGGAGGATTTTAACGATGGTGAGATATTCAAGCTAATTTCAGTGATAATATTGATGATGATGATGATAATAACGGTGATATTTTATTCAATGATAACCTGTTAATACTTGTCTAATGACGCGAGAGATTGTAGAGCAGAATTCAGGATGGGTTACATTCAAAAGTGTTTTGAGTTTTGCACCTAAGCCAATGTTCCGTGTTTGATCACTGATAGATGTCAGGTAGGGAAACAGTGACAACGACCTTTAAATACCGTGCGGTAATTTTATCCTAGTTTGACATTCTGTAGGTCATCCTGCAAATGGACGGATCCGACATTTCAACTCCAGTCGGTGCATACTTCCAAAGAGTCTCAAAGTAGGATGTAGCATCTCCCAAGTACTCGTGGTTGGTTTTCAATCTTCCCCTATAACCGACATCAATCTGTGAACAAGCCTGAGACGAATCAGGTCACTACAAACCTTATGTTGAACATTTCTATTTTAATTTATGGCGATTCTGCTGCAAGTTACGGGTGAAACAGTCGAAGTCTTATTACCACTGTATTGACAGAAGGCAGAGGTATTTTGTGGCAGGACTGTTTATTCATTCCATGAATAATCTCCATTCAGACAATCATTGAAAAAACAACAATTGCTTCAGTAAAGAGTCCTTCGATCAGCGATTTCATTTCGCTCATTCGCATTACGATCTTTGCATTTAAGTATAATTTCTCTCGACAAAAGAAGTCAGATAGCAACAAAAGTGATTAGTTTTCACAGCCATGATTTTCAGTGTCAATCAATGTTGTAGTTACAGTTAAATGTTAGATATCTGAATTGCGTATTAGAATGATGGATTATTTATATCGGTGATTTATAACCAGGATGCGAAAACGAACAAAGGTTACTGTGGTTCCACGTAGGAGTTCGTACGGAATACAAGAGTTAAAAAGGATGGAGAAAGCAAACAGGTCAAGAAGGTTGTTAGCATGCAAGTGGAAGTGGTTGAATAATTATTTCCTTTTGAATGGCGAGCTTCGGTTTCTCTGTTTGAATGGCTAGATTTTCAGTAACGCGTAGACGAGAGTGTATCACATTAAGCAGTTGATTGTTCTTCATTTTGTAGAATACTTCGACGGCGGAGTTTGTTGTAATAGAATGACGACTGTTTCATCAAGTGTTCAACTATAGCAGTCCTCAAAGTTTCACTGTTGCCATTCGTTCCATTCGTAAAATATTGAGAATGAATTCGATTCTGCAGCTACTGAGGTCAATGATTTCGTCGACGAGGGTCTATTTGCTGTAGTTGTTCTTTTCTACTTTCTCGAAATTATTTACACTGAACAATGACAAAATGCAGAAACATGGCCAAACCACTTCCTGCCACTTCCACACATGTGCTGAGATTTTTTCCATATTGCTGTTGTCAATGTTGTCCTTTCTGTCTTTCAGTGATAACCGATACCAAGTATCAGACATTTGCGAAGAATGTGGTGGAGTATTTGAACAGTGAGTGCTCATGTTGACTGTCAATGAATTGAAGGCATAATACACCATTCAACAATGTCAATCACGTTTATGATGAAACCATAAAAACCACCTTCTACTGATCGACTCTAATGAGTACATGTAGAGCACTTGCATCAACAAACAGTAGGGCGTGTTAGCCAGGTAGATCACAGTGATCTGAACACTACCGAATAACTATTTATCCCCTTCTGGCGACTAGTTCATCAGCGATGTGACCAGTCTGACTCGGCTCAAACCAGCCGATTATCGGCTGGCTACTTTGGCGAGCTGGTAATATATCAAATCAAATTTGCATTGCACGCAGTTCAAAGAGGTGAAATTCCACCACTCAGTTTTCTTAGAAAACGGAAATTAATCACCAATTCAGTAAATGTGAGTGTGTAATCTGCTTGATATCATAATTAGTAATCAGGGAAGCCGGTCTAATTGCATAGCAATACATGCTAATTATTTCACTGTTATGAGTGGTGTCATGCATTCCATAATGAATAATGGCTATTTCGGGAGTGGAAATATGCGCGAATAATCACCTGGAACTTGTGTAAACCATGAGCTGATTTTCAAAATGCCAGTTCAACATTGTGAGGCTCAATCAGTGGATATGTTTTCCACTGTGACAATCACAAACACATATCTCTCCAACTACACGTCATCTCCATTTTGTGTTGAAATGACTCACGAATGATATTTTCATTGATTACAGAACTGAAAGACGACTCTTTCTGGAAGAACGTGAATGGACTATCGCAGTTCCGTGAGGAATTTAAGGGTATGCTTAATTTTCACAATGACCTTTTATCACATGAAGTAGACTAGGAAACCTTGATATTTCATTTTAAGCAAGTAGAGACATTGACATGATAACCACTTGGAAGGAAATATTTCGAAAGCTGAGATCCAATCACAGTCAAACTACTTCCCCAGTTTGACCAACAAATAATTGAAATCTGTTTGAGGGCCAGTGGAAGGTATCTATGAGAAGTGAACAGCTGTTTTGTCGTAGTTTGACACTGTTCAACAGTACACACCATTGAACCCACATATTGGTGATCAAAACCAGGAGCTACAGGTCCCGAGATGAGATCTCTGACAGTTCAGTCATTAGGATAAGATGCAATCACCCACTCATGTATGTCTATATCGTGCCGTGTGTTCGATCTCTGGTGAATGGGCTAATGGGCTCGTACTTCAACAGCGACCTGCTTAGACCTTTGGCTGATAAACCACCCTTCATCATCTTGCTGCGTTCAATTTCATCTATTAAAATATGACCTCAAGTCTTATTGTTCACTCTCGCGGAGATTCGAAATTGGAGAAAAAATGTGGATTTGCGAATTCTGAATTAACCCAGGAAAAAGCGTAGTTCTTGATGGTTCCTGAGATTATGAGTACAATCTACCGTGCTCTGTCCAATGAAATTATCTGTCTGCAGTCTCATATGTCTTCTCATGCATAGCCAATACGAGGATTCTTACTCTTCAAGACACCTGGCTCTGTGATCAGTATGGTGATAATTGAGTCTGTCTCAATGGTTTCAGGCCACTCGGAGAAGATCGGTGTAGCCCTGAAAAATACGGCCCTGGCGTTGGAGATTTGAGTTTCTGTGACTGCAGTTTGCCTTTATCATTAGTTCATGAAAATATTGGTCTCATGATTCAAGTCTTGTAGATGGCATTTAAGCTGGAACTAAGTTGAGTGTTGAATACCTTGGATTATGTATTCCCGCCGATATCAGTCACTGTCCACTTTGACAGTTTGTTGATTCTTGTGTTCTACCCATGCTGTTTTATCTTTTCACCTTAATCTTGTCTGAATTATTTAACAAAAGACTATGTCAGATTTTGGAGGGTAGTATGCGCTCTTGTTATGTCGATTGGGATGTCATCAAACCAGCTTGTTAATACTGTTATAAATAGACACGAGAACTCACAAAAGAAAACAGTGGACAGTATCTTGTCAGACAATAATCTGCCTCAGTATTCACGTTTCTCCCACCCGTCTTCATCAGAGATCCATGGAAATCTCTATGCTCCGATGACTCACAGTGAAACTCTGCAAAACTACGCTTTGAAAATTGTTCCTTGTACGCAGAAGTCTTACGTTTTCCAATGGAACTGCCTAAGGTATAAATTCTGTTGTCACTTCCCTATTTCCTATCTAGAAATGTTCACACCTCTAATGCTTTCACAGTCTGTGTCTTCACTTCAAACTGATGCACTGCAAAGCTTATAGTTACACTAGAACGTGAATGTGCTGAATGAGCCTAGTGTGTAAATCCTGTGTCTGCATTTTTCTGCGCCTCAGATTACACCAAAGACGTTGAAAAGAACCGCAGTGAGTTTATTGATATATCCGATACGTCTATACATATTTAGGAATCTGCGCATGAATGTGTGTATCTATAAATACCTGGATAGATATTAAGGCAGATTAATCGATGATAGATGGAGAACTTTCACAATGGCCTACCTATTTACGTACTTCCTGTTCTAGTTTTCATGTGTTTGTGTTCTTCCAGATCGTAATGCTGTAGAAGACATTGGTTCCGAACTGGGACATGTAGAATCGAAAATTGACCTAACTACAGGTAGATTCTGATCTCCGTGAGAAAGTATTTTTCATTATTGTATCTAGTATGGTGGTAGATAGACCGACTTTTGATTTCATTCTCCACCCCGACACTGTTCTACACAATCATGTTTTCGGATAGTATCATGGAGATCCTGACTCTGAAGATATTCATCCTTCTGGAATTCCGAACACTTGCTCTTCGACAGGCATCGAGATAACCACATTGTGATGCAGACGATGTAACTCGGTATATGCTGAACACGATTCATATGCCCATGTCGGATCATCAATGCATCTGACTACTTCAGTGAATTTACTCAAAGTAGATTTCAATACAAATCAACCAAACAATGTCAGACTAAGTCAGCAGCCGCGTACTTATTATACTCAATTCCCATGTAAAGACGTCTAGAGAAATCGAATTCTCTGTCATCTCTTCCGAACAGGACCATTTCACCTTTCTACTCTAAATCAATCCACTCATCCATTACAGCTGGGGGCATGACCAGTCTCAGATCAATGACAACATTCTCAACAATGTTCAACCTAATTGTGAAAGTAGGTGTTGTTTAAAAACACACTGTTGAACATCGTTGGTTCATACTGTGACTCTGAACAAGTGAGATGTGCAGTGATTTGTTGAGTGGTGGCTAGCAGTGGAAACCAGGATGCACATTTCATGCAATTTGAGATCCTTCATTTTGAAGTGCATGCATTCTCCAGTGGGTGGTAGTCTTTCTAGTGAGACACAAAACCAGTATCCACCAAACACCAAGATGTCATTCACTATATTACTGGGGTCACGAGTCCGAGCCGCCTCTTGTACGACCGGCATCAGTTCTGGCTTTCTTTGGGTGAGTTGCGATTTGCCTGTTGACTGAGTGGACTGAAATATTCACCCAATAGAGATTGTGGGCTCGCCCAACTGAAGAGTTCTGAATAATACTAGACAGGCCCTATGAATTCCGCCAATAGTCACCACTCACCAAATTAATTCAACTCAATCCACAGACTTCGTCATAGCGTCTCTACCAGGGGTCGGCATATCGACAAAGGTCGACAATTTCTGCCCAGTCAGTCAACAGGAAAATCGAGATCGACACTGGGTGGACATTTGATTCCACACAAAAATGAGTTCGTGTTTCTGTAGAAAATGCTGAGTCTAACAGTGTATTCCGCTAATGATTTTTAGTCTATGATAATTTGGTGAAATCTCTTGAAAATGCATGCACGGCTAGAAAGGATCTGTATGCGACGGCAGGTTAGTCGACATAGCATTGCTCTTCTTGTTTTCGTTGTTTCAACGTTATTCAATGCGAATGATAACAGAATTGTCAGTGATTCTGTTTCCATTTTTTCTTCTGTGCTTATTCATGATGCTTACAATAAGTTTGACAGTCATTAAGAAAGCACAGGTCGACAAAGAGATCTCCTCTTGTAACCTCCACCAATCACAGCTTACAGGTTTATTAAGGGTTGGAATGTGCAATGTTAGATAACTTCAAAAGTCACCACCTATTATACGACAAATAATAATGTATGAAGCAGCACTCATAAGGGTTACGTGGTTGCAGCGGTTGTCAAGTAATACGTTACACGATGAGTAGACATTTGGAAATGCTTGGCGGTGAAACAAGAGAACTAGGAATGAAAACAAGTCACACAAATTGACTGACTAAACCGAGGTTGGAGGGTACTACAACACTATGCAGTGCAGTGGATAAAATCTGTATCAGCCTCATTGAAAAGTGGTCGATTGTCTTGAACTGGATCACCCGCCACACTGCGTAATGTGCGAAGACAGGAATATGTTGGATCGGTGAGAAGACTATGCATTATCTGGACTTTATGGACGATTATAGCTGAATATCGCAAAATTTCGAAGACTGACGGATGATGAGAAACGAATTGACATAAGTGGTACGAAGCGAAGACAGAACTTCCAATGAACACAGAGAAGAGGAATATCATGACGATAACCAGCCAACAATTCAATCAGCAAGCAACAACAACAACATCCAACATTAACCACCATCACTAGTGGGGAATTTGAAAGAAATCGCCGTCTTCACTCATTCAGCCAGACAGTGGGGTTTCAACTACAACCAGCCTCATGGATGACGATGTTGAAGTCAGTCAGGATCGGAAAGACAAAAGAGAACCTCGTGATTCAGAAATCAGTTTGCATATTTACTTCACTCAGCAAGATGAACAAAATTTTGATTTTCAGCAGCAATATTGACTCAGTTCTTCTATCTGGTTGAGTGACTTGACGTGCGCCTCATTGGAAGCATTTCCAACAGATGACTGTAGAGTTGAATCATAAGGCGACGCTTCCGATCCATATTGAAGGTTAGCTGGCCAGATGGAATTTCTATTGTTGTACATTATTTTGTTCCTGTGTGATTCGAGTGGAAGATACAGCATCAAACGTGATCTTTGAACTTTCAATAACTGTTGTGCTTTGTACATAGTGGGATTCCTGCCCTCACAGTGATGCTTTCTGCTTTTTGCTGGCTTATAATCATCTGAGTGATGCAAGGGTGTGTCGGCTATCAGCTCATTTCCAGGCCTACATGCACATTCGGCGTGGAATCTAGTATTGAACCACCGAATAAGCAGGAAGCAACTACGGAAACAAACTCACCAGTGGCTAATTGCACAATAAATATTCACCAGTAAATGGGTTATGTCGGAAACACGGTGAAGAGACAGTCGAATGAAATGATGTGACAGACCATCAATCGATTGTAACCTGAACGGAGACATGTTTGATTGGAGATTAGGAACATAAGAGATCTCTTCGCTAACTGAAGAGTTCCGAATCACAGGACATAGTAGTGGGAGCAGTACTGAAATACTGAAGGTATCTGTGGAGAAGAATAATTTGACAAGTATTTATTTGAGAGAGACTGTCGACAGGACAGTAATAACAGTAGTAGTTTTAGTTGTAGTAGTGTCAGCATGAGCAGCGTTTTAAACTAGTGGGAAATATAGTCAATTTGTTGATTGATAGGAATGAAGTTTCTCTCTACGCTGGAACATCCATACAATTATGCCCAAATGCTCAAACCTACTCATCACATAAAACTGAACGAAATACTCCGAAAATATGGACCATCCTTGTTTCATGCCAGAAATCTCACTGACCTGGATCCACTCAACAATAGTGAGTGTCGACTCACAACTATTAGTCAGGATCAACTACTTTATTTTGAAATAAATTTCGCGAAACACGTTTTGTTGTTTGTTTTTTGAACTGTGAGTTACATTCATGATATTTTTCATTGATAGCTGTGAACTATGCAGCTGCGAACATGCTGAAGATTCCCGAAGTCAGTGATGCAAGTGAGTGAACAGAAATATGCAAAGTGTATGCGTATTTGTTTGTTTACAATGAATGTCTTCAAGTAATTTAGAGGTGTGATATCCAGCTTACACCAGTCAGAGATTCGTTGTGAGTAAGTAGGGTGTACTGGACAGACGTTGCCTCCTATTTCGGGACTTGTGAGCAGTACGTGCTTATCGAGGTTCTTTCCAGGGTGTTTTACGAATACAAAACGTAGTTGTAGACCTTTCAGACACTGGGAACTGATCCACTGTTTCATGAATTCCAACTCCTATGAATAGTAGCATAGTCAGTAACTAATTTAAGTTCTCAGTCGATAGATGTTTCATTTTCTCTTCCTACCATGGGTTGATGCGTGTTTTGCAGTGGCTTGTATCGTTATCCGAATATCGTTAGGTCACACACAGGCATGTCTAACGGCCATTTGTACTGATGTGAGAGGAGAGTGAAGATCGTCATCCAGACACTAATAGTCTGGGGAGATTTGGCTGTTCTCCAAATTACTTCGAACGCCTTTTCAAAGTCGACCAAGTTCGGACGGAGATTTGACCGTCATTTTATGCTCTGTTCACCGACGATGCCCAGAGTTTCCATCGATCTGCTCCCCATCAATCCAGACAATCGATGTCGAAGTTGAGCATCCACTGCATCTTTTATTCCCTCCATTAGGATTTGTCCATATAATTCCATTTAATTATTGTCCTGCGAGTCTATTGTTTGTTGATGTGATTTTCCATATATCTGGTGTCAGTGTCTGATGCTGTGTCACTCCAAATCCACGTGTTGTGCGTATATTCGATGAATAATCACTCAGTGATCAAGTTTTCCATCCTCTCATGTATAATACATTTTAGACGTGTTGCTCTGTTCCATCCCACTGTGCAATCGTGTCTTATGACATGCATTTCAGCTACTCAAGTTTTCTCTAAGCTGTTCATCATGTGATTCAATGTCACCTCACTTGTTGTTTATAATGGAAGACTTAAATAAGTTTCTTCGAAACAATGCGAAAGCTTGAAGTAACACGTCAAGCAACTGAAATCATAAAATCAAACGATATCAGGAGGATCGGTGAAAAGTGAATCTCCTCTAAAATTCATTAGGTGGATATGAAAAGCTCAAAATATTAGTACTAAGATGAACAGGGAAAAATTTGAGGCGCCACAGTTTTCCCATATAAGGAAGAAACATTTGGAGTTCTACGCAGATTTCAGAGAAAATACGGTATAAGAATGTGGCTGTCACTGAGTTCTACGAAATGACCTAGGGACAAGCTTTGAATGCAGAAAGACCCTATTCACTCAATCAGCGAAAAATAATTCTATTTGCACAAAGAACCTTCTCTTAAGTATCAGCTACACAGATTTAGCCAGTGGAATTCGTCGCAGTCAGTCAGGAAATCGAATCACACGCATTGACTTCACTGTAGAATGTTGACCTGAGTAGGAGATAATGTCACAGTTGCACAACACGATGACACATTTCACTTATTTCATTGCAAACGTGTACTGAGTTCCAAGAGAGTAAATGACACTTGTGCTAGTGTTTGTCTAATGTACATACACAAATACAATAATTACACCTCATGATAACATGCATTTCAATTTTCCACATTTACTCAAACACACAAACAATTTACTTCAAATTTCACCTAAAAGTATTGAAATGACACTCTCATTAAAATTGAGTTCTACTCTTCATTAGATGAACTAACTGCCGGAGAAGACTTGGGAAATCTTATTGAAAAGGATTTTATCCAATCAAGAGGTAAACAAATGTTGAAACAAATGTCAAATTTCAAACACACATCACACTTTGTTATCTCAAATGATACAGAAGCAATAATTTGTGGTAGTCAGTCGTGAAGGGATGAGGGGACTCTCAACTGGTTGAGGATGTTGTGTAGTAAGGCGATGAGAGCTCGTCAAATGAACCATCAAGGTCAGTGAACACAACTACACTGGGGAACACTCATCCAACGTGGATCAATCTTCCTTCCATAGTGCCTAATTGCTTATCTCAAATTACCTACAACAATTGAGTAAGTAATTACTTAGACACGGTGAATAATTAGCCTCATCTGCAACTGCTTCCCGTCTCAGGTGTGTATGCGTGCGTTCATAATGAGCAATAATGTGCTGAAACGGAGAACACCCATTTCATGTTGACTGTTTGATTGAATTGTCTTTAAGTTTGCCTCATTTCATTTTATCTCGTTTTGTCCAGAGAATGTTGAGGAGAAATGTTTGCGAATGTCAGGAATGCAACTAGATCAAAATGGTAAGTCCCAATTTGTGTGGGTGCACCAGCTGACCAGCAACATCATCAGATATCGCCTCCGATGAGATCACTTTATTGTTTATGGTGTAATGTGATATCTGTACTGCCTGATTGTCACCACAAAATCTTCTTGTGACAGATATGCAATTGTGAATCGGAGTGTTTGTCCCACTTAGCATAGGAGTACCTGCACCGATCAATCGATACCAGCATTACATATATGCACCGCGAAGAAATGTGATTTATCCTTTCACCGATACATCGATCCATACATGCACTTCATACGTGATGTATGTTTTACCATGTATTCTTATTCCTATTTTTCCTTTGGGTTCCGAGTGGAACATGGGACTTGTAAAGCCTCTCTCGACTTACACTGTTTTCTGCCGTCATCTTGACCTGACCTCACGATTATCCATTATTACATATCTTCTCTTCACTCGAATTCACGCTCAACTCGTCGCTTCTTATTTTGGTTGCACTCGGCTATTTGTCATACACGTGTGATATCACTGAACAGTCTCCTCAGTGTGTTTCTGATCCATCTGTATTTTCTTCTGTATTTTCTTTGTGTAACAGGTTGATTCTTTTTTGATTTTTTGACAAAGTTTAAAACTGTGAATTCTTTCTCGGAATGCATTGGATCTTCCGCATGAAGGCAGAGAAGAGAGCTGGTGACAAACATCTCCAGTAATTTCTTGCAAATGGTTTAGGTGCAACACAGCCAAGTTTCTGACCGATCCAGAAGAAGTCAACGACTTTATACTGGTGTTGAAAATTCGAATCTTGTTCCTCATAGTGATTTCAGAGTGGTTGACTGTCTATCTCGCACTCCGATCCTGACACGCTTTGACGTCACTCGTACTATCTGATTGTAGTTGAAACGAATCCCTATGTCTAGATAAGTGAAAGAATGGACCACATTCAAATTTCTCCCAGTGAAATTGATCGGTGCTTGCTGTTGGTCATCTTTATGTTTACTTGCAGTCCTGCTTTTTCTATCTGCCACTTCGGCAAACAGTCGGTTTTCACCTATATATCTTCGAGGTTTTTCGATACTGAACCGTAATACTTTAATCCTTATTTACTGGATGCAGTAAATAGTACTGTTTCACTGTGTGATACATCTAATAAACAAACTAATATGGAATCCATTTCGAATTCTCTGGCAACATGCAACTCATATATATCATGCTTGGACAAAGTCGCTGTTCACTATGACTGGGATTTCACCAGTTCTCTAACTGATGTCAAGCAGTGATGTAAACAAATCCTTCACCCGTCTATTTACTCAATATTATCTACCCTCTGGGTGAATATGGAACAAATGTCTAGTGTATTCATTCGCGTCAAGTTCACTGGGGCCATATGCTCCACTCGTAACGCAAGGCATGCAAAACAAATACCCGCTTGTCACTCATAACATTTGAACCCCTGCATCATCTTTAAACCTATGCACCTGCTAACTGTTTCTATCAATATCCTCACATCTTGTTTCCTAGCTGTCAATGAAATCCTGATGAAATCAGATTCGACAAGTGAACCAGTGTCTGAATTCAGAGGTGCTATTGGTAAGCAAGACATTGTGTGATTGCAAACCTCCTGCCCTCTTCTGTTAAGCTATTTCAAATACTGACAAAACTTTGGAAACTGAAACAAAGAAGGTCTGTGCGTATGTCTGCAAGACACGCGAAACGTCACCGGCATTACACGTAGTTAAGAGATATTGCATGCTATTTGAAAGGAAATTTAACGAGGGCGAGATTATCATAGAATATTCAAGAGTTATTCTGTAAGGATTTGATTTCCTGCAAGTTTGATCATGGTTTGACATGAAAAAGAGAACTACTGTATTGAACAGGTGTTCTTTCCTATTTAGGGGTCGTTCGTCAGTACCTCCTCAAACCGCCACCCCTCGATCGAACCTAGGATTTTATCACCACCGCCAGGTATTGTCGTAGGCGAGTATTTGTCCCCACATTTCATATGGTGAACACCACTTGGTCACAAATTGTCAGTAGAACTTCAGTCGACGTCGTCTTGTAGTCAATCACTAGCGAGCGTCATAACCTGAATGTCTTTGATCCCACCACTCACAGGTAGGTTCATGCGTGTTGACTGACGAAGATTCCCAAAGTAGTAGTGGACAACCAGCTGGTCAGTACTCCCAGCTGCTTTTTCAATGATTCTCTTTCTGATATCAACCTGTGATCCAAACTTAAAAATGTTGAATCCCTTCCAACTGAAGCTTTGAAGAGAAGCCGTTTGCCTATTCTGAAGTTGATCAGAGTAAAAATCTTTTTTTATGTGGTCGATAAATGTCGGACATATTCTAAACATAATTAGTGGTAAAAATGTGTTAGAAAAGTCACCTTCAGACACTCAACTCATCGCCATACATTCGGGTTTCGTTCGATGCCCGGCATGGGGAATTATTTCACTAAACTGTCTTCTTCCACTTCCATTTTCCTCTGTGCATTTCTTCGGTCACAGGTTCTTGATTGATTCGTTGCTAGAGTTTCTTGTTGCTCATCCATTTGCACTATCTGATCTTTAGTATGGAGTAAGCAAAGGTAGCGTTCTGTCGATCCAAGTCTGAAGTAGTCTGTTGGAAATGCTATTCATAACACGTGAAGTCTCTCGAATACTTTACACCAGTACCGGGATTACGAATCTTGTTCTGTGTGGTTAGTGCAGGAGATTTCCAAATCGACTTCAGAGTAATGAAGTTCTGCCTTTCCACTCGGAACCTGAGCAGATTTGCGATCTCAATCTGTGCCGACTGAGTATAGCTAAAACGATTCTGGCTGTAGAGATAAATGAAAGAAGCAACTTCCTTCAAATTTCCCCACCTGGCAGGTGTTGTTGTTGGTGTTTGGTTGGTTATCTTCTTCACCGCTATTCTCTCTCTGTCTGTTCATTTGAAATCTTGTCTTCGCTACATGCCTCTTATACCAGCTTGTTACCTTTCGCCTGTAGACCTTCTGGTGTGTGTGTGTGACATTTCCGTGAACTAAATTGAATAGCTTGAGTCGATCCTTCGCTTTATTTCTACTCTCACACAGGTAATAAAACGTCTCACCAAGATATCTTGAATACATTTTTATTTTGGCTTCATTGCATCACTTAGATGTCTGAAAAGTCTTCAAATCTCCGTCCGTCTCTCTCCCTCTATCCATCTCTATCTCTCACACCCATTTGAGCCGCCTGACATGCTGATTGCATTGCAGTCTCGATTAATCAAATTCACCCTGCACCAAGAACACAGACCAGACGTAGTACAATCATTTCTACCTAGTGCCCTGTAAGAAGATCGTTTGCTCCGTTAGAACACCTAGATTGCAAGCCTAAACAAATCAGTGATTACCTCTTTGATTGCAGGTAGCGTTGAATGACAAAGCGTTCTAATCAATCTCAGAAGGGAAACGAGTTGTTCCTTGAAGATTGTAGGTATTACATTGCTGAATGATGAATGCCAGCAAACCCAACAGGCGGGACACCTGAGTGTCAGACAGAGCTTTCTGCCTGCCAATCGCCTCCAACCAAAACATGACATTCATTCGTATCATCACTCATAGAATCCAGACACACACACACACTGAAATAAGGAGGAGGAGGAGAAATAGACAATGTGCGACGTAAACATTCACCTGTTTCTACGAAGATATCTGCTCAATCAATATTTCCACCTGACATTATTTCACATGTTTAGCTCAACTGATTTCTGAAGTAGAAAAGGTTGAAAAGCTCAGAATCGACAGGCTTCCCAGTAAGTTCAAATTTCCCTTATATAGTAATGAATACATTTATGTTTAGACCAGACACCCTTGAGTATTGCGAATATAGCTGTCAATGCAATGTTTCGAGAGACTTATCATAAATTTGGTAAGTGATTTAGAGGACATTTACACATTATTCATTTTGCTGGTAGATTAATATTCAGCTGTCTCGTAATTGCTATTTATATTATTTTTATTATTTCTCACTCGTTTACTCTATATGTTCTGAGGGTAATATAAAGCCTGAGATGTTACTTCCTTATTGGTCTTGGTTCTCTCAATCTACAAGCACTCTTGACTACGTGTTGAGCAAAGTTTACACGCTTGTTTATTCGTCGATAGAGTTCCTCATTATTGTCTTTTCTAGCCGACCATCTGATTTCCAGTACAGTGCTAAAAGGACAGCCGTTGATGAAATTATGCAGTAGCCTGTTGTAAATGGTGTTAGTCGCACTCCGAATTCCTGACGAACACAGAAGAATTGATAGCGTTATTAAAAGTCGGAGAGAGACTCTCCATCTTCTAATAACGCTATCAAAATTTATAAAAGGGACTAATTGTTTTAAATTTTTGAGCAGAAGAATTGACTGAACACCGATGTCAAAAATTTGAATCATGTTGTTAATGATGAGTAGTGCAGTAGATTTCCAGACTGCACTTCGAGGAATGAAGTTCTGTCACGCCTTTCCGATTCGGGTTTCGAAATCGTTATGGATCCGTACTGTGGTGGAATGAATCCTGTTCCAACTAGTCAAAGAAACTAGCTATTTTGGATTTCTGTCTCTGATGGTGACTGCCGAATGTTGTCGATAATCCGCTATGGTAAACCATCCTATTCCCCTTATCTATACCTGAAATTTTTTTTTTTTTTTGATTTACAGCCTGATTCCACACTGTATTTTCGGTACAAGTATGGAATTTTCAGCATGGATATCGGTAGCCCAAATTTTGCAGGCCGACCATAGATATCAGGTGTGCGTCGGTGCGGGCTCGAACCCCGGACCATGTGCATGGTCGGCGAGAGTCCTAACCACTGTGCCACCGTTCCTGATGCTTCTCTCAACCTATCGCTTTCATGTATATACATATCTGAATTTGTCCTATAATGAGTCACACATTTTCTGTGAAACCCAAGTTTTCTAGTGGTTCGATGTTTGATGGTCGTCTCATTCCTCACAGTATGTTACACAGTCGAATCATCTACGACCACGAAGATAATCTCCGATAGCATTTAGCCTTGTCTTACTTCTATCCACACTTCAAATGCTTCGATGAGTACTGAAACGATAATTACCTAGAATGAAGCTGGTGTTGTATAGCTGGTGTTCGCGTATGTTTCTGGCACCACACATTCTAGTGTTCAACTAACGTTCAAATCACTTCGTAGCCGTTGATCTTGACGGTATTCTTCTCACAAAGTCGACATTGGATTCTGTTTTCTGTGTTTCAATTTGATCCGCGAATAGCTTCCTTTGCTTGAATTCATTTTTACAGTTTAGGTTTGACTGCTGAGCATCTGTTAGTCTGTCAAAGATGCTATGATTTCCCGCTTAATTTGCGTTGGATAGAAGCTTGATGGCACAGTGGTTATTACAAATGGTGTAGTCGCTTTTCTTCCGCTTTATGGTGAGGTAGCCATGCTTTCACCCAGTAGGTTTCGTTTCTTCTTTCTTTCCACATTCACTGTAGTGGCATAAGCACTTCCACTAACGCATCTAGGTTCGTCACCGGTGTTTCCTGAGTATTGCGTCTGATTTCCTAAGCCTTCGTATATTTTTCTGGTCCTCAAGTCCTTTGGTTTCTTTGAACAGTTCTGTGTCTGTTGAGGATATTTCTTGAAGAGTTATGAGCGATGATCAATCTTAGAGTCCTGTGAGGTAATGAATCTAGATTTTTCTCTGTTTGACTTCAAGCGTAACTGGATTCTTTTCATTATCACTCATTGTCTCCATCTGCATTCACTTGAATTTCGGTCTGAACCACGGAAACCAGTGGGTGCGTTTCTGTTGTATAACCTGCCGAACTGCTGCGAGGAACACATGCCAAAATTATCTCCCAGCAACCCGAAAGATATCTCAGCCTGATAAAATCTGTGACACTATTCAAAAAAATTTATAAACGATGTCAAAAATACAAAACTACCTCAAAAATGTTTTCCCATAACTATGCAGTCAAAAATTTGTCCACGAGAGAGATACAGACCAAAGCATATTTCCAAGACATACAACCCAAATTCACGAACTAACATTCGTCCATATTATAACACACAGTATCTTCGCCATCCGACTTCCCGACTCTTGACTGGTACACTCTCACGAACCCCTACACACATGGCCAAACCCAGGACCTTTAGGTTGCGTATCAAACCGCTTAAACTTTCACTCACTGGAGTCGAATTCAACGAACGACCAATTAGTTCCAGCTTCTCTCAATGCATAAACACAAAACAGCTGTGAAGAGACACTTGCATTCATATGCAAATGCATGTCGAGAATTAAAGACATCAGTTTGATCAGAAAATGTAGAAATTATTAAACAGAAGAAATGCTGGAAACGACACTATAGAATTCCCAGAATCCCGGAACACATATGAATCATATAATGAATTACACACATATTACTGCAGATCAAGTGTACCAACCAATAAAGAATAAACCACATGAAAAACAAATTCATTTCGCAAGTCATGAAACCTATCAGCAGACATACAATTTGACAACTAATCACGACAAATTAGGCTGGCAAGTGATACAATTACAACATCACTCGTTGAGAATTCAAATACGTTCATTTCATATTAAAGATTGCCGTAAGAAAGCGTGTGTCTTGAAGGAAAACGGAAAATTACATTCATTGCAAATTTGCGATGTATAGTGACATCACCAAACAATGCAAGCTGTGAGCATGTATCCCCACATCTGACTTGGTCAAACACACTGGACATAACTCCTCACCCACTAGTAATCTAACCAACGCCATTCAGGAGTTAGTCAGTCACTGGTGTCAACGGTAGGTTATAACTCTCTTAAATTTAAAAAATTGTATCAAGTTTGTCCACAGATTGACATCAGTTAGAGGTACACTGAAAACCAGCAGGGATCACTGAACACCTGGCTAATTCGTCCCAGTACGGTACACATCCGCAGGGGTCAAGAGTTCGAACCACTGTGGTGCGTGTACTGCTGATCAGTCAAGAATCAGGCCGAATTCGCCAGCTGTCCAGTAAACTCACCTGCTTTCCAGTGGCTCCTTAACCGATATTAATCCGTGGTCAAGCTTGAAACAAGTTGAACGCGTGCAAATCGACTCTTGAAAATTGTGTCAACCCAAAACTATGTATAAATATGACTCCTTCCTCTTTTACAGGTCAGAAAGAAAAGTGAATGGAACACAGTGAAAATGGACTGTTCATGAACTGATAAATTTTTTTCTTTTTTTTGGTGGTGGTGTTTTCTTTTCAATTCTTATTAATAAACGTTTTCTCATTTCCAAAATCAGTTCTGCTCACAAACAGTCGTTGTGTCTTTCATATTATCTGTTTATATGAATCACATTTATCAATCGGACGCACTCACTCACACACACACACGCTGTATCGATTGAAACCAACGTGTCATTGTCTGAACTCAAGAAACTAATCTTTGCCTTCTACTGTATAGCTGAACAAAACTTCCTTGAATAAGACAGTGTAGAGAACTGTCATGACTCTAGTAAAACGACAGTTATTTGCGAAGAAACCCCAAGTACAACTGAACATTGATAACATATCAAAAAGTGAAATTACCTCAACAGTCCTTCGAGGCACCGACACACATCTCATTCCTTATCAGTTATAAATTAAGTACTGTACAACAGGAAGAAGCACCTGAGAATCTAGATGAAAACTGACAGCACGGCGAGATAGAAACTTGGTCAGCAACAGCCACACACAGCAAACACTCAGATGACACTCGAAAATGAAAATTCACGGCTTGACTCCACACCATATTTTTGGTACATGTATGGAATATTCAGCGTGTTATATCGGTAGCCCAAATTCCGCATTGAGATATACGCACAACGCGCCTGTCCGAATGAGTTATCCTAGTTAATATTTCAGACGATACATGAGTATTGTGTAGAGTTAAAAAGAAGCATCTTTTCCCGATGTCGCAATTCAAAATAGGTCGTGGCTACTGAAATCGTCCACCTCAGACTAACTAGAACCATGAAACGGACTTTTACTGATGCTGACACCCTCTGTTATCGCTACCCAACCGAACGGTTAAAATCACCCACGTGAAAGATAAGCTGACCAGCCATGTTGGTTTATCACTTTTCTGTGTATTTGTAAGTGTAGCTGCTCCTGTTGAGGAAGCTTCGTACAGGGTGAACAAATAGAGGCAGCGACACAAGTTCACTACGCAGCATCTTTTTCCTTGGTTCAAAACAGGACAAACAAAATCCGTAAGAAGCTCTATTTCATCTCATTTGATCTTTGATGGTTTTGATGGCGAAAGCAATCAATAAGAGATCAATTCTTTCACTTATCTAGGTAGCCAGCATGGTTTACCCTTCATACGGTGTGACGTGTGCTACTGAAAACATTTTTCAGCAGCATATGAAGAGACGTTTGCCTGTATGAAAATATCAAATAGCAGGAGGGTAGATTCAGCGTCAGAGACAGGGAGAGTAAATGATTCATATTTGAGAAGACACATGGAAGACTTGAAAGCAACACAGAGAAACACATTATGAAGGGAGGACAGAAGTGTCAGAATACTGAAGATCTTAGCAATTGTAGATAAGGTGTACTTCATTTACCAATATAGAGACGCCATATTCAAAATAAGCATTCCAAACATAATCTCTTAACTTTCACCGTTACAGTTGGTGTTTTAGGGAAGGAGAGATACGGAGATTCTTGCTGGACTATCGCCATCTACAGACAAAATCAATGAAACCATGTGACTTATGTCGAAAGCGTGTTAAGACGCATTGAAGAGTATGGACTGTGCATCAACAAAACGAAATCTCACATAGCCAAACGGAGCGTCGCACTGTTGGTTCATAAGTTAGACACCGGTGAGATAAAATAATTACGGGAGAAAATCATTTTACGAGAAAGAACGTTACAAATTCGAAATCCGGGAGAAAGCTGATGCAGTCTGTAGGTAGAGCAGCGTTTAATGGTCAGCTTGTGAAAACCTTCAACGAGATAGCAGTCTCTGTAAACAGGCTATTAGGTGGGTCCGAATCGTTTGGCTCACTTATCAAACAAGAATATTGAAGCATACGGCTTTTGCTCGTTTGGTTAAACGTATAGCTGAGCTGTATTCAAATCCTCATAGATATAATCGAGCTTTCTGACAGTTTCAGTGGTAATAACTATGAACTCTAGTCACAAAACGACTGAATTCCTGGACACCATAAACATCCTTTTAATAGGATTTTCCTGAATGTCAGTTTTTCACTGGGTAGCTCAACAATTTTTTTAATTTCCCTCTGGGGGCATCGTCTGTAAAACATCATTTCTCGGTAAATTTAACACTACATTAAATTTACAAATTGGTGAGTGGGAACGAGATTCCGATTATTAGAGTACTGGCGAGTTGGTGTAGGTTTTCTATATACACTTGCATTTTCTTTAACACGTATCTTCTCTGCTTGTCATCAAAACATCCAACCATAAGATGACCTGTTTCTATTAGCCTCATGCTTAAACTTGTCCCTGCTACTCAGTTTACTGTTGGGTGGATGAGGTTTAGAAGTGCACCACCTTGGAAGGAAAACTGCAGCTCCCCTTTGGGTGGTGTTCCTTCTGCTATTAAACTACGACGTATCAGACCAGTGTTGTACACATGTGATCGTGTGCAAGATAATCTCTCAATGACCACACAGACTAGTGACAGTTAAGTTTGTGTTCAATAGACGAGGCAATTCAGGATATAGTTATCGATATCTGAGGCCAATGACTGCCACACAGTTGTTTCAGCCTAGACTGACACACATCGGCTGAATGCAGCAATAATAATAACCATAATGTTCAAGTACGGCAGTTCGTTGATCATTCACCTCCCAGGACCATGTGCAGAATCTCTCCAAACTTTCCAGTGAAGCGGAACTTGAATTCATCAAGACAACTCACTTACCAGTGTCTACTCAATGAAAGCTTAGGTACTCTTACTGGTCTAAAATGTCTATATTCTCACTTTGTCATCAGATGAACGACTCTCATTTCTTCCAATGCGTATTAGTAATTGTTGCTAAAACTGAGTTTTTGGCTTCATCGACCTCGACATATTGACTTTCTATTGTTAATTTTGTGAGAAATCCATTTTTTATACAACTATGATTATTATGCCGGTTTGTAGCGTTCATGTTATTTATCGATCATAGTGTTGCACACATATGACCACATAGACTAGTGACAGTTTAGTTTGTGTTCACTAGATGAGGCAATGCAGAACATAATTGTTGATATCTGAGACGTTCATTGAAATAGGTGAATTCATTTGGTAGGTTACTGGTCAGGTAGCTGGTATTTACAGTGAATTCTGACACAATCTGAAGTCATACCACGTAGAAGCACGCAGCTTTTTTTTTCTAGTTTGTGTTTCAGCTTTTAATTCACTGGGATTACCAACTGGTAGGTACTTAGCATAGTGTTACCTCATGCATTATTTTAATTGATAGAACTGGTTCTTCGCAAATTGATACGCGAAATTCATATCACAAAAAAATGCGAATGTATATATATATATTGTGCGTGGAAACGGTCGCTTGATCTCCAGATTGAATAACTCTGGTCCATCTGCACTTGTGAAAATGTGTCTTCAACGCATTTGTCGATGAAAAACTGGTATATTAATGCGAAAAGTGATTTAAGCCATCATCTGAAGAGTGATGAATTTTCTCTATGTTTCAGAGAAAAAGAGTAGGTTGAGAGAGGGTGAGTGGGTTATCCTCTACTTTCACTATCATAATGTCCAGTAGCGTAGAATTTGGTGATGAAGGCGTCGGACTATTAGGAGCCAATGTCATCAATAAATTTTGTCGAACGAAATGTGTAGGTTGGTTTATTACACACCACAGACGAAGCCACTTAAATAACAATAAGTGATATCAATCTATGTGTCTTCGTTGGTCAGTTTGGAAGATAATTAGTCAAATGTTTCCATAGGAGACACACTGGTGAATCTAGACGATGAATCTTGAATTTTCATTTCCCTTTTGTACTTCTAATCGACTATGAAAACTATCGTCCGCATATCCTTAGAAATTAGTTCACGAAAGTCAGACAAAATTTACTGACAAGTTTACAATTCCCTGATGCTGTTGGACAGATATATTTCAGAGTAGTTTGATTATTGAAACAGCTTTGTGAACATTTGCATATCGTGTTTCTTGTAATTCACAGTAAGAAGTCGTGAGTGATCATATTGTTTCATGCAAATGCGTTAGAACTAAACCTCTGTTGTACCGTCTGTTTTTGAGTCACTAATGCTCGATACCTCTTGAAGTCTAGAGCGACCAATAAATCGTGGCTTCGTTTTATTTATGGTATTCGTTATAAAAGTTATCACAGTTCCCGAAAACTCATTAGGCCTAAGCAGCACTCATTTGCGTGCAGTTAACGCTAAACACTGCATCTTTTTTCAGCGTAAAGCGTATTTGCAAACTGCCTTCTTCTAAACGGTGTTTGTGAAGGCAGTCAATGAATGAAGATGCTTGTCTTTCAACCTCCTCATTTTCTCAGAAATTACATCTCCAATCTGTCTGTTCAAACCAGTCTTAGGAACTTGTCAACCGATCTGGATCAACACGTTTTCTGATTCATTCTAATTTGCTTCCTTCTGTCAATATTTCAACAGAAGTATGTAGAGAGAAGCTGTTCTACAGCACAGATTCCCCCTTATGTATTTTCAGTCAACTGTGGAATGACATGAGCTATGAGAGTCATTTTGACTCCTTTAGAACCAATCAAATTGAGAGTTCGACGCGTAACCTCTCTAACATGGAACACGCTTTCGTCTCTCCTCCATTGCTTTTCGTTTGTTCGCCTGCTTTTTAATCCTTTATAACTCTTGAAGTTCTTCAGAGCCTCCACGTAATTTTATATTTCCTTTCGTTTCTTTGATCATCCTAATTACAAATCAATCACTCATTCACTGATTACTTCATCGTGCTGATTAGCTCTCATACACTTACTCAACTCGTCTCATGCACTGATTGACTAATATTAACAACCATGACTGTCACGCTTCATCACATCAGGATAAACGTGTTTCATGCAATAATCGTCTATAAATAGGATAATACAGCTAATGGTGAGAATCAATTCGTCAAATTCAGCCTCTTCCATGGACAGTACCTCTTTTGTTGTTCTAATTCATTTGACTGG